CTTCCCCCCTGACGCCCCAGGGTGGCAGTTCTACCACCCCTCCTCTCGTCGTGTTCTGTCCTCCCAGGACGTCACGTTCGACGAGTCAGTCCCCTTCTACCGCCTCTTCCCCTACCGCACTCCTTCCCTCCCCCCGCCACCGCACTTCCTTGTGCCAGGTCCCCCCCCGGTAGACCCCCTTCCCCCTCAGGGTCCTGCCCCTTCAGGTGTGTCCCAGGTAGACGCAGTCGAGCCGGTCGAGGTTGCTGGTGACTCTGGTCCTGCTGCGGGTGCTGAGCCTGGGGGTGCTGACTCTAGGGGTGCTACGCGCGTGGGTGCTGAGCCTGGGGGTGCTGAGCCTGGGGGTGCTGAGTCTGGGGGTACTGAGCCTGGGGGTACTGCGACTGGGGGTGCTGAGCCTGGGGGTGCGGAGTCTGGGGGTGCTGAGCCTGGGGGTGCTGCGACTGGGGGTGCTGAGCCAGGGGGTGCTGCGTCTGGAGCTGCTGAGCCTGGAGCTGCGGAGCCTGCGGCCACTGGACCTCCCCTTGTGGCGTCTGGCGGTGCGGGACCTGGCGGTTCTCCGGGTGCTTCGCCTCGGCGGGAGCCCCTCTCTCCACAGGAGCTGCGCGAGTGGTTTGCTCGCCGCTGGAGACGTACTGCTGGAGCCGGAGCTCCTTCGACTGCTGAGGGTACTTGTGCCGCTGGTCCCGGAGCTGCTGGGCCTTCGGGTCCGCCTGGAGCTGGAGCTGCTGCGGGTGTTGGTGCTGCTGGTGCTGCTGGAGGTCCTGCCCCTGGAGGTGCTGTTGGCGCTGGTGCTGCTGCTGAGGGTGTTGTCCCTGCTGTGTCTGGAGTCGCCGCGCGGCCTCGGCCGTACTTCGTTCCACTCCTACAGCAGGTTCTTGGTCTTTCTCCTCCTGCAGCGTGTCCACCGCCTGTTCAGTCACAGTCCCAGCTAGAGCCCGCCTCCCCACTTCCTGCTCCCTCTCCTTACACTGGTCCCACTGGAGGTCTTGCTGAGCGTCGTGAGCCTGCGTCTCGTCCTGCGTCGCCTGTTCGTGCTGCTCGCCCTAGTGGTCGCGGTTCGCGTCAGCGTCCTCCTCCTGTCCCTGGCACGCACCGGATGTCTTTGCGTCCGTCCACTGCTCCTCTGCGTGCCCCTTTGCCTTCTCCTCCTGAGTCCTCTCTTCCTGCACTTACCGACCCAGAGTCCGACTCTCTTCGTGCTACCAGTCCTACTGTCACACGTCTCCTTGCTACTGTCGTCACTGACCCCTCTTTTGAGTCCACTGCTGCGTCTGCTCTTGTTGCTGAGCTCGTCGACTTTGCTGCTCGCTGTCGTCTAGACTACGCTGCCGGTCTTGTTGCTGAGTCTGCGTCTGTCTGTCCTCCGTCCGTCGGGGGTGAGTGTGCTTTTGGCACGGACGTCCTTGAGGACAGGCAGGAGGAGTTCCAGTGTCTGGCTGCTGCTTCACCTCATCTCGCGTCCGTACTACTTGCCCCTGAGGGAGACCCGGATGCACTAGACATCCGACTCCGCGCTCTTACGCGGAGGCCGTAGAGGGTCCCTACTCCTCTCAGTGGCAGGCAGCTATGGATGCAGAGATGGCGTCCTGGAAGTCCACAGGCACCTACGTTGACGCGGTTCCCCCTCCTGGGGTGAACATCGTCAGTGGCATGTGGATCTTCAGGGTGAAGCGGCCGCCGGGCTCTCCACCTGTCTTCAAGGCGCGGTACGTCGCTCGTGGCTTCAGTCAGCGGCAGGGAGTTGACTACTTTCAGACCTTCTCTCCCACCCCGAAGATGACCACTCTTCGGGTACTGCTGCACATAGCCGCTCAGCGCGACTACGAGCTCCACTCTCTTGACTTCAGCACTGCTTTCTTGCAGGGTAGCCTGCACGAGGAGATCTGGCTGCGCCGTCCACCTGGCTTCACTGGGACTTTCCCGCCTGGCACCCAGTGGAGCCTCCGACGGCCAGTCTACGGTCTCCGCCAGGCACCGCGTGAGTGGCACGACACACTGAGGACTACGCTTGCGGCTCTTGGGTTTGCTCCCTCTACTGCTGACCCGTCGTTGTTTCTGCGCACCGACACTTCTTTGCCGCCGTTCTACATCCTCGTGTACGTCGACGACTTGGTCTTTGCCACAGCTGACACTGCTGGACTAGCCTACGTGAAGTCCGAGCTGCAGAAGAGACACACGTGCACAGACCTGGGTGAACTGCGCAGCTACCTTGGCTTGCAGATCACTCGGGACAGAGCACGCCGCACCATTACCTTGACTCAGTCACACATGGTGCAGCAGGTCCTTCAGCGCTTCGGCTTCACGTACTCCTCGCCTCAGGCCACTCCTCTGTCTACTCGCCACTCGCTCTCAGCTCTGCCTTCGGATGAGTCCGTAGAGTCGAGTGGCCCGTACCCAGAGCTTGTTGGTTGCCTCATGTACCTGATGACCTGCACACGACCTGACCTTGCATACCCTCTTAGCATTCTTGCACGCTATGTTGCTCCTGGGAGACACCGACCAGAGCACATGGCTGCAGCGAAGAGGGTGTTGCGCTACTTGTGCAGTACGTCGGGCATGGGGCTAGTGCTTGGAGGGCGGAGTCCAGTGGTGCTCACTGGGCACGCGGACGCTTCTTGGGCTGACGACCAGGCTACGCAGCGGTCGTCGCAGGGTTACACCTTCAGTCTTGGTTCCGGCTCTGTCTCGTGGCGGGCTACTCGCTCGTCCTCTGTTCTCGGCTCCAGTTGTGAGGCTGAGATCTACGCCGGGGCCATGGCTGCACAGGAGCTTCGCTGGCTCACCTACCTGCTGACTGACCTTGGAGAGCCGCCTCGTTCTCCTCCAGTGCTGTACGTAGACAACAAGGCCATGCTGGCCTTGTGTCGAGAGCAGCGCTTGGAGCACAGAACGAAGCACATTGCTCTCCGTTACTTTCTTGCTCGTGAGCTGCAGCAGCGTGGTCAGTTGCGACTTGCGTACGTGGCCTCTGAGGCCAACACTGCTGATGTGTTCACCAAGGCACTTCCGCCTTGTGACCATCAGCGCTTCTGCACTCAGCTGGGTCTTGTACCTGTCTTGCCTCACTTGCTCTCCTCTTGACCTTGCTTGTACTGTCACATATATATACCTGCTCTTGCTTGTCTAGCTCTATATATATATGTGCACTCTTGCATGTGAACTGGCCTTGTGGCCTTGTCGTTGTGCTCGGACTGTGTGGTGACTTTGTGATCCACCCTGAGCTTGCTGTTCTTTGCGTGACTGGTCTTGTGACCCCTTGTTCTCCCCCACTTTGCCTATGGGGGTGTGTCAGAACATATATATGACTTATGCTGTTGTGTAGGCTATAGTGGGGTATCCCATAGGGGGTACAACCCAATTAGGGTTTCCTATATGTACTCACTTCATTCATAGTTCATCCATTCTCGTTCTCATTGTCACAGATGCCACCCGAACAAAAAATTTACTCAAGTAAAGCTGCTCCGCAACCCTAAGACGATTTCGTCGCCTCTTGTTTTTTTTTAATGCAGGGGCTCTGCTTATTAGGGCCCAGTACTAAAGTGGAGATGCTTCAGGGTAAAACAAAACGGTTTTTTTTTCATTACACGTAAAAACTATATAAACATCCAAGCCTCCATATGTAGGTTCTCAAAACGTCAATTTGAGGTAAAAAAAAACGGCTGATACACAATCATTTTCCCCTTTCACGCTGTCTTTCGGGTATTTTTTTAGGCTTATTCTGAAATCTCACTGTTTTTTTAGTACGTATCAAATCATGAAGCAGTTCTCGGAATCTTGACGAAATATCGTTTTGTGCCTATTCTGGTCTGCTTTGTTAATGGCTCTGAAGGCAGCTAATACTAGGAACGAGGCAGACTACAGAACACGTTAGCACTCTCTCTCTTCGTGAAATTATTGCAGCTATATCCACCACCACCCCTTACACGCCACGGAATGCTCACAACCACAGACCGACATGGCTGTTCTCGCCTCGCCTCGCCAGTCCGACACGGACTCACGGCGGACCTTCGCGCTGAGTGCCGGCAAAATTTGCAGCGCGATGTGGTGGACACGATTATGGGAGCAACGCGTGATTATGGACACAGTTTAGGTGTCGATGCCATGCAGAGATTATGCGTGAGGTCTGAAACGCCAGCAACGCGTGTAATTCAAGGGTCGATGCGATCCGTTGCAGAAACCATGGGCGCCGCGAGGGCGCGCAGCAATAATTGCCGCGGGGGGCACAGGCTGTAGCTCGCCCAGCCTTACTCCGGCGGCATCGGAAGCGCCATCGCCAGCCTCCAGCCTCCTGCCTCCAGCTTCCAGCCTCCTGCAGTGTCGTTTTCGTGGTGTCTGAAGTCGGTATATACGTAGTGGGACCTTTGATCCAGCATCGAACCCGACTCCTAGCCAGTCCGTCACTGCTTCAATCCGTCGCTGCTTCAGAGTCCGTCGCTGTTGAATTCGATACCCCTGTCCATATATCGCCCAGCGAAATTACCGCTACGCCGCTTTCTGCTACGAGGCTAACCTGGTTCACCTACTCACCGGTCGCTACCGAACTATAATCCACTTCCGGCCCGAGCACCAATCAGCTGTGCGACCACTTTCAGTCCACGTCAGCATGACTCAGATGGGACATTCCAAGGCCGCAGCAGCCGCGTTGATCGCCGTCTCCATCCTCCTCGGTACGCCTCAGCCTTCCACCACCCTCCCTTTCAACATTTCTCGTGTCAAGCCCGCAGGCAGGCAGGCGTTTACGCCTCATGATGCTTGTGTGGAGTTCATAGCATGCGAGATTCAGTCCCCAGCGTCCCAGCGTCACGGAATGCGTCACGGAATGCGTCACGGATGCTCGTGTGGAGGGAGGAGTACACAGAATCCGCGATTCAGTCCCCAGCGTCACGCTCATTCCGTACACTTTCGTGAGCCATCCGTGACTGAGTTTTGCGCTTCCCGTTCTGACACTGCCCTTCTCGTTCTGTCTTCGCCCTTCTCCGCCCGCCATCCTCGCAGCGATGGGAGCAAATGCGCCGGCTGCTGCCTCCGACGTGGTTCCCGTGGAGCTGCGAGTGGGCACGGTGGTGCCCGCCGGCTCGCCGGCTTCCTACCGTTGACTTTTGAGTATCACGCGTTGACTCAAAAGGCTGCGGGTGGGCACGGTGGTGCTCGCCGGCTCGCTCGTTCTGACCATTTCCTTTTCCTTTCTGTCTTCGCCCTTCTGGCATCCTCGCAGCGACCGTCAGCATGTCGATGGGAGCAGATGCGGCTGCGGCAGCCAGCGACGTGGTTCCTGCGGAGGTGCGGGTGGGAACGGTGGTGCTCGTGGGCTCGCTCGCTCAACCCGAGCCCGTCTACTTCGACTATAACCGCTGCGTGCCCGTGCCTGAGATCGCCAAGGGGGCGAGCAGCAACGGTGGTGGTATGGCGGATGTGCTGGTGTGGTGGGACGTGTTTTCGGAGCGCACTATGTGCAACGCGGTGCAGCTGTTCGCGTCGCCTGACTGCTCGGGGGCACCCGCGGCAAAGTACCAAAATACGCGGTATATGAGGTGAGTGCTTGCGGGGTACACGAGGTGAGCACTGGGGGGGTGCATGAGGTGAAAATTCGAAGTGTACTTGAGGCAAAGTACCAAAACACGCGGTACATGAGGTGAGCACTCGCCGGGGTACACGAGGTGAGCATTCCGGGGGTGAGCAGTCCGGGCGATTCATCTGTTTATTCTGACTGGCGTGCATTGAAGACTTTTGTGGCGCCTCAAAAGGAATCAGGGAGATTCATCTGTTTATTCTGACGTGCATTGAAGCTCCTTCGTTTCTCCTGCCTGCCTGCACGTCTTGCTCACATGCCACTTCCCCACGCACCCTTGCTTTCCCCCCATCCATTCCTCAATTCCCTCCCAACCGTTCCTTGTGCGCCCCTCCCCCTGTGCGCACATGTGAGCAGTGCGTTCAAGATGGGCGCATCAGTGAAGTCCATCCGCTGCGTTCTCGGTGAGTGCCCTGCTGCAACCATGCTGCTGCTGCAACCATGCTGCTGCTGCAACCATGCTGCTGCTGCTGTCTGAGCCCTGATTCACTTTCAGCCATACATGCACTTTCAGCCATACATGCACTTTCAGCCATACATGCACTTTCAGCCATACATGCACTTTCAGCCATACATGCACTTTCAGCCATACATGCACTTTCAGCCATACATGCACTTTCAGCCATACATGCACTTTCAGCCATACATGCACTTTCAGCCATACATGCACTTTCAGCCATACATGCACTTTCAGCCATACATGCACTTTCAGCCATACATGCACTTTCAGCCATACGTGCACTTTCAGCCATACATGCACTTTCATCCATACATGCACTTTCAGCCATACATGCACTTTCAGCCATACATGCACTTTCAGCCATACATGCACTTTCAGCCATACATGCACTTTCAGCCATACGTGCACTTTCAGCCATACATGCACTTTCAGCCATACATGCACTTTCTGCCATACATGCACTTTCTGCCATACATGCACTTTCAGCCATGCATGCACTTTCAGCCATACATGCACTTTCAGCCATACATGCACTTTCAGCCATACATGCACTTTCATCCATACATGCACTTTCAGCCATACATGCACTTTCAGCCATACATGCACTTTCAGCCATACATGCACTTTCAGCCATACGTGCACTTTCTGCCATACATGCACTTTCTGCCATACATGCACTTTCAGCCATACATGCACTTTCAGCCATACATGCACTTTCAACCATACATGCACTTTCAAGCATACATGCACTTTCAGCTGTACATGCACTTTCATCCATACATGCACTTTCAGCCATACATGCACTTTCAGCCATACATGCACTTTCAGCCATACATGCACTTTCAGCCATACATGCACTTTCAGCCATACGTGCACTTTCAGCCATACATGCACTTTCAGCCATACATGCACTTTCAGCCATACATGCACTTTCTGCCATACATGCACTTTCAGCCATGCATGCACTTTCAGCCATACATGCACTTTCAGCCATACATGCACTTTCAGCCATACATGCACTTTCAGCCATACATGCACTTTCAGCCATACATGCACTTTCAGCCATACATGCACTTTCATCCATACATGCACTTTCAGCCATACATGCACTTTCAGCCATACATGCACTTTCAGCCATACGTGCACTTTCAGCCATACGTGCACTTTCAGCCATACATGCACTTTCAAGCATACATGCACTTTCAACTGTACATGCACTTTCAACCGTACATGCACTTTCAGCCGTACATGCACTTTCAGCCGTACATGCACTTTCAGCCATACATGCACTTTCAGCCGTGCATGCACTTTCAGCCATGCATGCACTTTCAGCCATACATGCACTTTCAGCCATACATGCACTTTCAGCCATACATGCACTTTCAGCCATACATGCACTTTCAGCCATACATGCACTTTCAGCCATACATGCACTTTCAGCCATACGTGCACTTTCAGCCATACGTGCACTTTCAGCCATACATGCACTTTCAGCCATACATGCACTTTCAGCCATACATGCACTTTCAGCCATACATGCACTTTCAGCCATACATGCACTTTCAGCCATACATGCACTTTCAGCCATACATGCACTTTCAGCCGTACATGCACTTTCAGCCGTGCATGCACTTTCAAGCATACATGCACTTTCAGCCGTACATGCACTTTCAGCCGTACATGCACTTTCAGCCGTACATGCACTTTCAGCCGTACATGCACTTTCAGCCATACATGCACTTTCAGCCATACGTGCACTTTCAGCCATACGTGCACTTTCAGCCATACGTGCACTTTCAGCCATACATGCACTTTCAGCCATACATGCACTTTCAGCCATACATGCACTTTCAGCCGTACATGCACTTTCAGCCGTACATGCACTTTCAGCCGTACATGCACTTTCAGCCGTACATGCACTTTCTGCCATACATGCACTTTCAGCCATACGTGCACTTTCTGCCATACGTGCACTTTCTGCCATACGTGCACTTTCTGCCATACGTGCACTTTCAGCCATACGTGCACTTTCAGCCATACGTGCACTTTCAGCCATACATGCACTTTCAGCCATACATGCACTTTCAGCCATACATGCACTTTCAGCCATACATGCACTTTCAGCCATACATGCACTTTCAGCCATACATGCACTTTCAGCCATACATGCACTTTCATCCATACATGCACTTTCAGCCATACATGCACTTTCAGCGGTACATGCACTTTCAGCCGTACATGCACTTTCAGCCGTGCATGCACTTTCAAGCATACATGCACTTTCAGCCGTACATGCACTTTCAGCCGTACATGCACTTTCAGCCGTACATGCACTTTCAGCCGTACATGCACTTTCAGCCATACATGCACTTTCTGCCATACATGCACTTTCAGCCATACATGCACTTTCAGCCATACATGCACTTTCAGCCATACGTGCACTTTCAGCCATACATGCACTTTCATCCATACATGCACTTTTAGCCATACATGCACTTTCAGCCATACTTGCACTTTCAGCCATACATGCACTTTCAGCCATACGTGCCGCCATACATGCACTTTCAGCCATACTTGCACTTTCAGCCATACATGCACTTTCAGCCATACGTGCACTTTCTGCCATACGTGCACTTTCTGCCATACGTGCACTTTCAGCCATACGTGCACTTTCAGCCATACGTGCACTTTCAGCCATACATGCACTTTCAGCCATACATGCACTTTCAGCCATACATGCACTTTCAGCCATACATGCACTTTCAGCCATACATGCACTTTCAGCCATACATGCACTTTCAGCCATACATGCACTTTCATCCATACATGCACTTTCAGCCGTACATGCACTTTCAGCCGTACATGCACTTTCAGCCGTACATGCACTTTCAGCCGTACATGCACTTTCAGCCGTACATGCACTTTCAGCCGTACATGCACTTTCAGCCGTACATGCACTTTCAGCCATGCATGCACTTTCAGCCGTGCATGCACTTTCAGCCATACATGCACTTTCAGCCATACATGCACTTTCAGCCATACATGCACTTTCAGTCATACATGCACTTTCAGCCATACATGCACTTTCAGCCATACGTGCACTTTCAGCCATACGTGCACTTTCAGCCATACGTGCACTTTCAGCCGTACATGCACTTTCAGCCGTACATGCACTTTCAGCCGTACATGCACTTTCAGCCGTACATGCACTTTCAGCCGTACATGCACTTTCAGCCGTACATGCACTTTCAGCCCTACATGCACTTTCAGCCATACATGCACTTTCAAGCCGTACATGCACTTTCAGCCGTACATGCACTTTCAGCCGTGCATGCACTTTCAGCCGTGCATGCACTTTCAGCCGTGCATGCACTTTCAGCCATACATGCACTTTCAGCCATACATGCACTTTCAGCCATACATGCACTTTCAGCCATACATGCACTTTCATCCATACATGCACTTTCAGCCATACATGCACTTTCAGCCATACATGCACTTTCAGCCATACATGCACTTTCTGCCATACATGCACTTTCAGCCATGCATGCACTTTCAGCCATACGTGCACTTTCAGCCATACATGCACTTTCAGCCATACATGCACTTTCAGCCATACATGCACTTTCAGCCATACATGCACTTTCAGCCATACATGCACTTTCAAGCATACATGCACTTTCAGCCATACATGCACTTTCAGCCATACATGCACTTTCAGCCATACATGCACTTTCAGCCATACATGCACTTTCAGCCGTACATGCACTTTCAGCCGTACATGCACTTTCAGCCGTACATGCACTTTCAGCCGTACATGCACTTTCAGCCGTACATGCACTTTCAGCCGTACATGCACTTTCAGCCGTACATGCACTTTCAGCCGTACATGCACTTTCAGCCCTACATGCACTTTCAGCCATACATGCACTTTCAGCCATACATGCACTTTCAAGCCGTACATGCACTTTCAGCCGTACATGCACTTTCAGCCGTGCATGCACTTTCAGCCGTGCATGCACTTTCAGCCGTGCATGCACTTTCAGCCATACATGCACTTTCAGCCATACATGCACTTTCAGCCATACATGCACTTTCAGCCATACATGCACTTTCATCCATACATGCACTTTCAGCCATACATGCACTTTCAGCCATACATGCACTTTCAGCCATACATTCTGCCATACATGCACTTTCAGCCATGCATGCACTTTCAGCCATACGTGCACTTTCAGCCATACATGCACTTTCAGCCATACATGCACTTTCAGCCATACATGCACTTTCAGCCATACATGCACTTTCAGCCATACATGCACTTTCAAGCATACATGCACTTTCAGCCGTACATGCACTTTCAGCCATACATGCACTTTCAGCCATACATGCACTTTCAGCCGTACATGCACTTTCAGCCGTACATGCACTTTCAGCCGTACATGCACTTTCAGCCGTACATGCACTTTCAGCCGTACATGCACTTTCAGCCATACATGCACTTTCAGCCCTACATGCACTTTCAGCCCTACATGCACTTTCAAGCCCTACATGCACTTTCAGCCGTACATGCACTTTCAGCCGTACACGCACTTTCAGCCGTACACGCACTATCAGCCGTGCACGCACTTTCAGCCGTGCACGCACTTTCAGCCGTGCACGCACTTTCAGCCGTGCACGCACTTTCAGCCGTGCATGCACTTTCAGCCGTGCATGCACTTTCAGCCATACGTGCACTTTCAGCCATACATGCACTTTCAGCCATACATGCACTTTCAGCCGTACAGGCACTTTCAGCCGTACACGCATTTTCAGCCGTACACGCATTTTGAGCCGTACATGCACTTTCAGCCGTACATGCACTTTCAGCCGTACATGCACTTTCAGCCGTGCATGCACTTTCAGCCGTGCATGCACTTTCAGCCGTGCATGCACTTTCAGCCGTGCATGCACTTTCAGCCGTGCATGCACTTTCAGCCCTACATGCACTTTCATCCATACATGCACTTTCATCCATA